ATTTGGAACGCAGATGACTTTGGAGATGTTGAGCTGTCTCTTATTTTTATCGATGATGTCTTTTCATTATTGCATGATGCTGTTAAAAAGAAAAGAAATGCCAATACAATTTTTGTTCAGTGCCGGCATGTGGAGCTGCATATGCACCATGAAACTGTACTTTGTTAATTATGTTTGCGAGAGGGTCAGTATTAAGGTAATACGCAATTCTCGAGAATAAAATATATCGATAGTTATTTTATAATCATATTGTATATCGAAGATTACTTTATATTTTATAGCGAAAGCCATTTTTATATTTTACAGCAAAAATCATGTACACACTATTTTCTATTTTAGGCTAACAAAGTCAACGAGACAATTCATCAGCTGACAGGTATTTTTCGATACGCCGACATCCGCGAGGAGGTTAAATGATTATTTTTATATAAGTGAGAAATAAGCTGAGCTGAGATTACACGTTTGTAAAAACTAAGTCACTCTTGCATCCGTTTGCAGATTCATCAATTCATTTTGCAAGCGATACATCGCCCGTTGAAGTTTACCGGTTTGGGTCTCTTCTGCTTCGGCAGCAAGTTACTCTGGAAGGTTCGTATGTTTCTTCGTATTTATTTTCCCTCGTCCACCCGCTCGTCACACTTCCTATCGCAAAAAGCGATCCAGGAAAAGCTTACGAGTTTATTCCCGTTATCATAACTATCATTCTTTTCGCCGTATCAGTTTTTACTTTATAACTTGTTTAACAGCGGATTGCGATAAAATGATACTTCTGCACGCGATGGAAATTAATCGTACTCCAGTGTAACACGTTCCATTTCAGTTTTGCGCGATGATCAGCACGTTACTACTCCTCATGTTGCAATGGTCTCCCGAGTTGCAAAAGTATAATGATTCACATTGAAAATGAGCAATGATACCGATGCCTCGCAACGCTTATTCCAATGACGACGTAGGAATGCGCGAAGATTATTTTTTGCATCGCATGCTGATCATGTGATCTAATATACTCATTCATTCCTCTATATATTCACTCTTGTATATTAGACTAACGATACGCCATGCCAACAATAAATTGCAACAATGTGTCTTATTGCATACCAGCTTTTCCTCTGTGAAAAAATAATAGAACAAATTGGATGTTTTCTTATTTTTCCCGCCTTCCGCGTGAAGGAGCGACTTAGGTGTCAATTTTTCATCAACTAAGTTTCACGTGAGTTTGAGAAAAGTTGGATTCGTAATCGATGACGAAGGGAATAACTCAAAAAAATAGCGTAATGAGACGGAATTCGCTCACGTTGACTTGCAACGATCGAACGGAAGTCCGGAGTACACTAAGCTGCAATAAAACCTCGACATTCACTGAACCAAAACTCACTGAACTTTCTAATCATTCACATCTAGATGTCTAGATGTGCGTACACATTATATGATTAATAATCCACAGCTAATTTGTCACTTCAACGGCTTGACATGTCACATCATATCGTATCCGCACACGATGAAAACGATTAGAAGGATCAGTGAGTTTTTGGTAGCCTGGCAAATATTAAGGCTCGACTGAAGCTTAGTGGTGTACAAATCCACCAGGAGGTTATCACGAATGAAATTTGCGCGATTAATAATGCGAATCGACTTACGACGTTTTATTGTGCTCCGAGCCTTATAATTCGCATGACACACATGTCACCCTACGTCGACACGTTAAATACACCCAAGGAGCGGAAGACAGGTAACGTGAATATTCACTTATCGTCGTTTAAACGATGTTATGATATTACATATGTATAAACAGTGACAATCCCATAAGGAGTTTGCAATCTAATCAGGATCATACGATCGTCCATTCTCGCGCTCGATACTCAGGCCAGATAGCAATGTTGACATATCTCGCAGCGCAATTCTTGGCTAGGTCTTCCGGAGAGAGCCCGTCGCACAACGACAAGGAAGTAGGGGATCATCCGAGAAATGATCATCGCGGAAAGTGTTCTCCGAGCGTGTGTCGCGCGGCGAAATTCGGACTGCACGATCAGTGATTCGAGCGAAGAACATGGTGAAGACGGTCCAAGCGGCGTTGTCACCGTTATTGGTCGTCGGCGCGTTCTGCGGCTTGTGCGTCTTCGAGTTCCCCCTTGGACGACCCAGGCCGTACCTCACTTGCCTCTACTTCCTGGTCACATGGAGCATCTACGCGTATATCGTCTACTACCTAATCGACATCGCTCAAGAACAGATCATATTTCTATCCTGGACTAATTTGACAATCACAATCTCCTCGTTCGTGTCGATGCTGGTCAACATATTTCGTTGCAAGGTACGGACGTCGAATTTTACGTTCCAGATTCACCAGACAAACGGATCGCGGTTTTCTTTGTTCTTGTTATTTACGATAATTATTATAGACAAACGGATAGACTTCGGTCGATTTCGATAGCCGTTAGTCGTGAACAAAAAAGTGTCCGACAGAATTAATATATTAGTGACCGATTGTCTTTAATTTTTTATTAAATAAATCATTTTTATATCAACAAGTCTCACATCGCCTAATTGATCGGTGTTATCCTTTCAAGGAACTGAAAAAATGCCTGCGCAAACTTTCCATCGTGGACGATACTTTAGAAGTACTCGGAACGCCCAAGGAATATCGACCGTTGTACAAGTGGATGATCGGAGTGATAATCACATGGTGTGTGACAGCCAATCTCTTGAATGTGTTAGATATCTTATGGCAGCACTNTTTTCTATCGTGGACGATACTTTAGAAGTACTCGGAACGCCCAAGGAATATCGACCGTTGTACAAGTGGATGATCGGAGTGATAATCACATGGTGTGTGACAGCCAATCTCTTGAATGTGTTAGATATCTTATGGCAGCACTCAAAGGGCACAAAGGGCAAACGGTTTGACGTTGTGCGTATCTGTACTCCATTAGTGGAGAATCATCTGTTGCACCTGGGCAACATCAACGGTGTGATGTTGGGAACTGTTCTTGGGTTGGTACATATATTATACTTCCGCAAAACTACCTCGAATAATAACTTTGGACGAGTTACAAAATGGTTGCAACACCTTTCTTCAATTAGTTCAAGTCTCGTAACGCATGTAATATAAAAATGTATATCCGGAGAATTACTAAAAACAAATTCTCCCATTGGACACGGGATGCGTTCGGAGTTTCTTTATTAAAAAGAATTTTATTGAAAAATTTTTGTAATCGGCTAGTATATATATAGTATACTGTTTCATTACTATTAACAAAAAAAAATCTGGCGGACATTCGACGAACTTGTACAAGCCTCTGATGAAATTCAAGGAACGCCGCGGAGAAATGATTTGAAACACGAAAAGATAATATATTGAAAAAGATAATATATCTGGACTATAACGCTCGGATATAACGAGCGAGGAAAAGTCGAGTCGCGAGTTTTCTTTCAACTTGTATTCTCCGTTAAATTCAGGTACACGGCCTCCAGATTCGAGCGAGTCAACAAGCACATTTACAATCTGTTGGAAAACAACGCGGAACACGCCGGAAAAAGGAATACGTTGATTTTGGTCGGTCAGAAAAGAGTCTTAGAAGAGTCCGAGAAACGCGGACAGCGCTTTTGGATTATCATGTAATATCGCCAAACAAGCCTTTTAAATCGTTGTTCAACGTCAAATATTTCTTCACATGTCTGCGAGTTAACTGGATTAAGAAAATTACGGCTCGATTGCAGGCACGTTCATTTGCAGTTGAGCATGCTGTCGCGACAGCTCAACAAAGTGTTCAATGTGCAAATGACGCTGGAGATGGCTACTTTGTTCGCAGTTTTAGTGGACCAGTTCTTCGATTTTCACCATATATACGTGGACGAGAATAGGAATTTACTTCACCAGATCGTAGCGAAGCTGACCACTTATATCTGGACCGGCCTGTTCACCGCGAAGCTTTTCGCGTTAAATTACATCTGCCAGACCATTTGCGACAAGGCAATCGAGTCTTATCTACCTACATTG